ACCATAGTCCGTGCTACTTGCCCCGCTCCTGTGCCAGGTAAGTCCACTACGGGCTCACCATAGTCCGTGCTACTTGCCCCCCTCCTGTGCCAGGTAAGTCCACTACGGGCTCACCATAGCCCGTGCTACTTGCCCCGCTCCTGTGCCAGGTAAGCCCACTACGGGCTCACCATAGTCCGTGCTACTTGCCCCCCTCCTGTGCCAGGTAAGTCCACTACGGGCTCACCATAGCCCGTGCTACTTGCCCCGCTCCTGTGCCAGGTAAGTCCACTACGGGCTCACCATAGTCCGAGCTACTTGCCCCGCTCCTGTGCCAGGTAAGCCCACTACGGGCTCACCATAGTCCGTGCTACTTGGAACTTTTTGTTCCCAGTAGCTGAATCTTAAACAACAACAACGGCGCTTTCCCTTGATAATTCCCTCCCTTCCTCCCTTAATCTCTTCCATCAACTCTCCCTTGAAGGGAACGTTAATGGAAGAACCACACTAAAGTTTATGCGAGTAATGTGTAAAAACTTGATCTGGTACCAACTTAATTCATGCCTCAAGACTCCTAAGAGGATTGAAATTGAAATAAGTTTATTGAGGTAAAATACACACAAAGGGATGAGGTAGCTCAAGCTATTCTCACCCCGTTCAGTACATCGTGTTAATACATACATAGACACACATCACAAACAATAAACATATTACCAAACATTCTGAGACCGAAGAGGATTTATTTGAATCCGTTTGAATCCCAGGCTACGTTACTTACAGTGTATCGGGGTTCAGAGATTTAAAGGGATGGCGAGGGGCGAACCCGTGTTGTAGGTTCGAATCCCTCTCGTGACTCCAATTGTCTGAATGATACATCACTTTAATGTGATTTCTTTGTGAAATATTAAACATAGTTAACAAGAACAGACACGAAAGCTTCGTTAACTTGAACAAATATGAGTATCATATGTATTTGTTGATTAGGAAGCCCCACCAGATTGTTTCGAAAACTTATTAGCTAACTACTAGTATGTTATACTAGTTTAACATCAAACAGGACTTGTTAAAACGTAAGTAGGAATAAAACAAAAATTTGCAGGCCTATTAGTCCCATTCAAAGCAGAAATGTTTATATAAAAGTTCAGCTCAAATATTAACCCAACCTCTGCTTTGAAACTTTCCAGCGAGTTTATTAATGTTACTTTGCAACTTGTTCTGCACGTCTGCAACACAATTTCCCTACCAGACTTTGCCTATTTATATTCTAAATTTAATATTATCGAATTTGAATCGATTTTTTTTCAAATTTGGTATGAGTTTTTTTTAGATTTTTTTTGGGGGGGGTTATATGGTTTCTTAAATCCTCTCATCAATGAGCTCAGCTCACTCATGTTCCCTGTTGGCTACTATTTATATATATATATATATATATATATATATATATATATATATATATATATATATATATATATATATATATATATATATATATATACAAGAAGGTACATTGGGATTGTGAGGATACATAGTATAGTAATTACAATCTTGTAAAGCCACTAGTACGCGCAGCGTTTCGGGCAGAATACTATACTCATAGCCCAGTCGATAGAGCTTTGCATGGAGCTTTTGAATGGAAAGCTTCACCATAATATGGCGAGAGAGCTGCACCATAAGTCTGCCACGGGAGACATCTCCCGTCACGCAGGGTGCAGGCGCACCTCCACAGATCTCCAGTATCAGCTCTTGATACTGGTAATGGCTCAAAAGGGCCACCACTTACGGGCTATTCATGCCCGTGCCACCTTTTGGGTGGCTTAATCTTCATCAATCAATCAATAACTCTGGTCCATACAAGGTGTGCATCATAACATTTACCGAAATCAAATTTGGTTATACCAAGTCCCATCCATTGTGCTCAGTAAGTTTACCAAACAACGTATTGACGCTATTAAACCGTAACAACGATAAAATAACGTTGTAGTTAACGATATATATATATATATATGTTGGGTAGAAGTAACGAGTGAAAAATGACGGGAAAATTTCGATATTGATAAGGAAGAAGAACGAGGCGCCATTTAATAAATCCAGACGCGACCAGTATAGTATGGGAGCGAATGGCAATAAAATTCGAACATTTTCTTGCTAATTGTTCTTGCGAAATTGTTTTTACATATGAAAATCGGTTATGAAACATTCCACTTGTATACGTATAGACGTGGGTCATTAATAGTCTACTCTTATAAACTCAGATTGCAATTTACATATCAGTTAGCCTAGTCTGTACACTAAAGGTATTAGCAAACTAGAATATTAGCATTAATAATATGGTTAGTTTAAAATGCTGTACTGCTTTTAATGTCACGAAAAGCGTAAATATGAATACACGAATATAATTTTCAAGTCATTTGTCAGGACCCGGATTCAGGAAGCAGTTACGCAAGCACTTACGAACGTGTATATCTTTCCTCAATCTTTGTAGGCTTTGGTTACATTTATTAAACAGTTTACAAGCATGAAAACTTGCCAATCAACTGTTGTTATTATTATAAACAGCCTCTTGGTGCTTCGGAGCTCATTAACTGTTTAATAATTGTAAACAAAGCCGCCAAAGATTGAGAAAAAATGTACATACAGGTTCGTAAGTGCTTGTGTAACTCCTTCGTTAATCCGGGGGTTATATACAGTATTGAGGAAGCAGTCTCTGGCATATATATACACACGTTACTATGTTAATATTATTTTAGTATATACTAACACAAAATGTGTTTATAATCTTAATAATAAGTGCTCATATGTTAGTCACAGCTGGTTACATAGAGATGTGTAGAAGACTGATTACACACAGAAATCACAATAGCGTGATACATCAAATGAACAAATCCACAAGGGCTGTGACGAGGGCTCGAACCCTCGTCACGGCCCTTGTAGATTTGTTCATTTAAAAGACTGATGTTTAATATACACTGCATGAGGTGGCGAGTCTGACATTGCCTCAAGTCTTTATACTCTGTTGGTGGTGTATAAAGTCTGACGTAGGCTGAAGTGCAACCCGTCCTCTTAAAAATAACGTCGCTCTTGGCTCGTATGCGCTATGGCCAAAAGTGGACGTAATTTGAAATGAAATCAGCTCACGAAAGTGACGTACTGTCCTGTTTTCTGTTCGAGTCGTCCGGCTTACTCGGAAAGGTTAGAAGAGGAAACTTTCAATTAACGTTTTTCATAACGTTTTGAAACTTTATGAGAATTTCCTGCCCACCTAACCTATCAGAGGACTTGACTAACTGGTGTTGAAAACAAAAATCTCAAATTTATTTTAATTTTTTTAATTTTCAAATTACGTCCACTTTCAACCATACGGATAAACGGCCAAAAGCGACGTTATTTTTAAGAGGACAGGTCTGTAGTCTCCACAACAGCTGTAGATGCTATACAAAAGTAGACAGGAATGAGAAGTCCGACACAGCTCTCAGAAGAACTTTGCATTAAGTTCTAAATAACACTGTTACCACATGCACTAAAAATAATGATGAGACAAACCTGAAAACAGCAATAATATAGGATAAAGTTAATCATATATCTAAAAATAAATCATTTATTTAAAAATAAATAATCTACGACATTATTATTATTATTTTATTGAAATAATAATATTTTGTCTAAAAAGTTATTATTTTTTGTTAAATTATTATTTTTTCTAACAACATTAAAATTTTTTAGCAAAATTATTAATTTTTCTAACAAAATAATTAATATAAATAATTATCTAAAATTAATGCCTTAAAAATTAATAGTTTAGCTAATAGTTTAATAACGAGTCTAAACATTAATAATTTATAATGAATTATTAAAAAAAATATTTAAAAATAAATACTTATCCAAAAATTAAGAATCTATAGTTAATAATTTAGCTAAAATTAATAATTTATATAACAAATAGTAATCTAAAATTAATAATTTACGTGACAAATAATAATCTAAAATAAATAATTTAACTACAATTTTTTTAGATAAATTTAATTGTAATGAAATTTAATACAAAATTTATAAAAAGCTTAAGAATTTTGCATTTCTCCCATTTTCTTCAAAATTTCTTAAAAGGAATTTCAACTAGCTTGAGTTTTGGCATTTTTATCTTGAAAGAAAATTCATTTTGAACTATTATAAGCATTTTATGGTAAGTTAACAAAACCGTTACAATTACTTTTTTTTTAGGTAATTTTTTAGGTAATTATTTTTTAGATAATTTTAGTTAAGTAATATGTGAGGTCATTATGAGGAGAAAGGGCTACGCCAATACGATTATATTCCTCTTGGAAGGAATATGAATGAGAGAAGCTGGGATACGAGGACATGGAGCTGGGATACGAGGACAAGGAGCTGGGATACGAGGACAAGGAGCTGGGATACGAGGACAAGGAGCTGGGATACGAGGACAAGGAGCTGGGATACGAGGACAAGGAGCTGGGATACGAGGACAAGGAGCTGGGATACGAGGACAAGGAGCTGGGATACGAAGACAAAGAGCTGGGATACGAGGGCATGGAGCTGGGGTACGAGGACAAGGAGCTGGGATACGAGGACAAGGAGCTGGGATACGAGGACAAGGAGCTGGGATACGAGGACAAGGAGCTGGGATTCGAGGACAAGGACCTGAGATGCTAGGACAAGAACCTGGGATACCAGGTACCTATTTACTTCTAAGTGAACAGGAGGCGTCAGGGTGAAAGAAACTCTGCCCATTTATTTCCGCCTCCGCCAGGGATCGAACCCGGAACTACGAATCCCGAACGGTGTCCACTCAGCCGTCATGGGCAAGTATGATATCAAAGAATCATATCCTAAGAATCCCTTCATCATTAATGGACAGGACACAGTACTAAACTTGCTTCCATAACCACAAAAAACCTATAAATCATTTTTGGTTCACTTTCACCAAGGTTCGACACGCATCTATACACAAAAAACATTGATCCAAAACTTGTCAGAATGTTCAAAAAAGTGTAAAGTTGAACACTTACGGGGATTGTTGAACACTGGGGGCTCCCTGTTGAACAAGTTAATGTGTCTGATGGCGTCCGATCTAACCGTGGCTACTGTAGGAATACAGCAAGTGTAGATAAAGCCGCCGCCACATTTATTGACCGGTGTATCTATAAGGCAAAAGGTAAAATTAATATGCAAGCATGCAAACGACTCGGTCATTAACGCTAATTGCACCTAATTGCATTAATCTGTTGCACCTAATCACTCAAGGGTAAATATTAGTTAAGAGGAGTAATTATAATCATCAGAACAGTATTGAAAAATTTAAACAATATTAAAACTGTAAAATAATTATATATATATATTATATAGGGGGGTACCACCACTGGTGTAATTATAGGGACCCACAGCCTCAGAGAAGGGAACACAGAGCACTCAGGGAAAAACTTGACATTTAACACTGAATACGAAAGAGTGTTCACTTCTCCTACCACCCCCTTTTTTTTTTTATTACGATGTACACTTTATTATGCAAGGTTATACAGTTACATATCTGATTTTATACAAAAAATGAACATTAAGAGGACACAAGAAAAAGTTCGCTTCCTAGAGGCTGTAGATTTCCTCGAACTCCTCCGACGCCGGGCAGGAACCGAGGATGCAGCGGGCATTTCCCCTCTGGATCGCGACACTGAGGCGCTGAAAGAGAAAACTTGCTGCTCTAGGGTCTCTTGTGGTGTCAATGAGCTTGGAACCAAGATCCTTAAGAAACCTTCTTGCACTCTCACCCCATGGGCCTAGGGTCTCAGACCCTATAACGAAATTGTACCTTTGATCTAATTGCCTGTACTTGACTGACTTTTGTTTTTCTCTGTGTGTCGCTGCGGCTCCTGCCGTGCCGGCAGAGAGGGTGATGTATGTCGGTGCCAGGGTGGATACGCAAGTATAGTCCCATGCTAACTGCCTGCCACCCTTCCACGGACGCAGTGTGATTCCGTCTGGTCGGCCGGCAAAGCTAACAGAGTCTTAGGGAATTTTTAGTACATAATTTTAGGCTTTAAACCCGTATTTACTCAATCATTTCCATCAAGTTTATCGTTAATAAATTCAAATATTTTTTATAAATAATTAGCCTTTAAAAGTATTTTACAATCACAAATAAACATGGATATAACAAGTTATATACTTACAATCTACTCACAATCTGTGTCGATTAAAAATAGAGATTTGCTAACATACACAAAGATGTTACAACCGGTAATCTCACCTAATACGGCGCACTTTCTTAACAAGTTTACCAAACTTAAAGATACGACGAATTAGTACAAATTAAAGCTAATAATGACTATTTTTTCCCATGCATGGGCCTGTATCAGGGGGGGGGGGAGTTACCCAGGACGCAGGTTCAATCCCACCGCCCTGCTCCAAAGACATTCTTGTAGATATCTCGCATTATTGTAGTCTCATGGTGTACATTTAAGATTGACGGGGTGTATAGAAGTCGTGTGAGAGACTGACCTCCGCGGAAGAGACAGGAGAGGATGAAGGTACAGGTGGCCTGGACCCCATTGTGCACGCATTGCTCCGGCAGGGAGAACATTCCTCGCAGGTAGCGACCCTCATCTGCTTCTGCAAGATAGATAGAGTGGCTGAGGCTTCAGGCAACCCATCCTCCAAATATTAGGAGGTAAATATATCAACACAAGTGTAATTATGTACTATTCCTAGTAGTCAGGAATTGTGTTAAACCATACTGTTAAATAATTGCCAGAAACGCACCAAAATATTGCGAAAATTTGAGTTTACCTGAAAAGCTGAATAGAAAACCACGACCTAACCTGACCTTCTTAGTGTATGAGGACAAGCATTTTATTGCTTCTTAATTACAATTAGTACTTAACCTATAATATGTCGTACCAATAACCTATAGCTATATTGATATTACAGTTTTATCAAACTAATAAAACAAAACTAAAATCTTTCAATAAATTATAAACTCAGGATATTTTCAAATTTTGTATAAAATCTATTGTTTAATAAAACTGAAAAAGAAATTCTTTATATTTAAAACTTGTGTATATAGTCTAGGATAAATATTTAACACGTTAGTTTAGGATAACTATTAACACACGTTAGTTTAGGATAACTATTTAACACGTTAGTCTAGGATAACTATTTAACACGTTAGTCTAGGATAACTATTTAACACACGTTAGTCTAGGATAACTATTTAACACACGTTAGTCTAGGATAACTATTTAACACGTTAGTCTAGGATAACTATTTAACACACGTTAGTGTAGGATAACTATTTAACACGTTAGTCTAGGATAACTATTTAACACACGTTAGTTTAGGATAACTATTTAACACACGTTAGTCTAGGATAACTATTTAACACACGTTAGTCTAGGATAACTATTTAACACACGTTAGTCTAGGATAACTATTTAACACACGTTAGTCTAGGATAACTATTTAACACGTTAGTCTATGATAACTATTTAACATGTTAGTCTATGATAACTATTTAACATGTTAATCTATGATAACTATTAAACACACATTATTAGGCTTCTTTCACAAACTGAAAATGTTGACTTAATCCAAGATTTGAATTACAATCACTAGTCGAGCTAACTATCATTTGGTATTGTTGTCCTATATAATTTATATATATAATACTCATGCAAAATAGAAATCTGTAATATAATGCAAAATATTACAAGTAAATAGATACATTTAGCCCGCTGTCCAGACCTACAGTGGCGCCCTCTATATTGTCCAGACCTACAATGCCGCCCTCTATACTGTCCAGGGGCCAGATTCACGAAAGCAATTACGCAAACACTTACGAACCTGTACATCTTTTCTCAATCTTTGGCGGCTTTGTTTACAATTATTAAACAGTTAATGAGCTCCGAAGCATCTGGAGGCTGCTTATAACAATAACAATAGTTGGAAGGGAAGTTTTTATGCTTGAAAACTGTTTAATAAAAATGTAACCAAAGTCGTCAAAGATTGAGGAAAGATATACACGTTCTTAAGTGCTTGCGTAAGTGTTTTCGTGAATCTGGTCCCAGACCTACTGTGGCGCTCTCTATACTGTCCTGTTCTTCACTGTGTCCCTCTACACAGAACCCTGTTCTTAAATGCAAACCATGCTCTGAAACTCTCCCTGGACAGATGTAATAGGACCCATTATCACCACACCAGCAATAAATATCTCTTTGATATCCCCAGAGTCAAACTTAATCTGTGTAAACACTCTATGCAAATTAAGGGACCTAGTCTATGGAACTCACTACCTAGTGAATTGAAAAGCTGTCCAACTTTTGCTTCATTCAAAAACAATGCTAAAAAGTACCTAATTTCATCTTCATTGTTTCCTACACTGAGCTTTAAATTTGCTCTGTATCTAGTGTTACCCAATCTCCCAATCTTTATGTACTTAATCCAAACAACTTTATCATTGTGATCATTGCTGTCTTCTTTTATGTGCTAGCCATATGCTGTATTATGCCTAGTAATTTTTGTTAAACTACCATTCAAGCTGTCAACGCAATCAATCTGAGCTACCTATGTGCTTTAATATACCTACAAAATTTATCTTATCTTTTATTTTTTTTCTTGCAATGTACCTGTTATCATTTTTATAAATTTTGCTAGTATTTACCTACTTAAAATTTTCTTAGATTAAGGGCCTGCCCGAAACGCTGCGCGTACTAGTGGCTTTACAAGAATGTAATCACTATGCTACGTATCCTCACAATCTCAATGTATCTTCTTGTATATATATATATATATATATATATATATATATATATATATATATATATATATATATATATATATATAAATAAACTAACCTAGCCTAACCCAGCCTGAACCTAACAGAGCCTAAACTAACCTAACAAACCTTTATACGGTTTTGACCATCAGAAAACGAGCTTTGTCGATCCTTTTTTTTGTGTACTATTTGATGGTTTGACTATTTGGCTATTTAAAGCCTCGATAGTTAGACCAGGAAGCTGCAGATCAGGGTATTCTTTGCGCTTATTTTCCCTAAAGACTGAATCTTATTGTGGTGTTTGCCTAACGTGTTGTGTAAGACTCGGCAAGTCTACGGTTGTTCAACATCCTCCCAGTCAGTATAAGAAATATTGCTGGAACAACCGTGGATATCTTCAAGAGAAAATTAGATAATTTTGTTCAAGGAGTGCCGGACCAACCGGGCTGTGGTGGGCCTGCGGGCCGCTCCGAGTAACAGCCTGGTGGACCAAACTCTCACAAGTCAAGCCAGGGGCCAGATTCACGAAGCAGTTACGTAAGCACTTACGAACGTGTACATCTTTCCTCAATCTTTGACGGCTTTGGTTACATTTATTAAACAGTTTACAAGCACGAAACCTTCCCATTCATCTCTTGTTATTGTTATAAACAGCCTCCTGGTGCTTCGGAGCTCATTACCTGTTTAATAAATTGGAAACAAAATCGCCAAAGATTGAGAAAAGATGTACAGGTTCGTAAGTGCTTTCGTGAATCTGGCCCTAGGAGGCTGTTTATAACAATAACAACAGTTGATTGGCAAGTTTTCATGCTTGCAAACTGTTTAATAAATATAACCAAAGCCGTCAAAGATTGAGGAAAGATGTACACATTCGTAAGTGCTTGCGTAACTGCTTCGTGAATCTGGCCCCCCTGGCCTCAGGCCGGGCTTGGGGAGTAGAAGACCTCCCAGAACCCCATGAAGAAAGTATTAATTATGACTTACGCTGGGCGGCGACGTAAGAGGTAGTGAGGAGGAGGAGGAGGAGTGTGTTCAGGGAGACCACCACTCCCCCCCACCTTCCCTCAACCATGACGTCACAACATCAACCTGAAAAAGTAGATAATCAAATGAAAATTAGATAATCAAATGAAAATGAAAAATCAAATAAAAAAAATCAAATAGCATTTGAAAAAGATCATCAAATGCTTCAATTATCCTCTTTTCATAATAACAATTATTAATATTTTCAAAGAATAATTTCTTCGGTATTGACCAAAGAAATTGATAATTAGCATCTGGACAACATTCTCAATGTTGAATGTTACATTCAACAATGTAAATTACATTCAAGTTACATTCTCAATGTAAATGCATGAAGAATTACTTCTCTACACACAGAAAGTAGATACATACCACTATTCTATCTGTGTCTATTAATTGGAAATACAGTAAATGCGATTTAATAAAATAATTTATATATTAATACGGAAGACCAACCGGTTTGGTTAACACGGAATTTATATTGTGATATATTTGCATGAGACATGTTCGTATAACACATCGTATATAGTATAGTTAATACTATAGTATAGTTAATACTAAAATGTTTATTTTTGTTTATTTAGGTAAGGTACATACATACAAGAAATTGTTACAAAGATTGGTTGACTTATAGGTAGAGCTAGTACATACAATGCCTAAAGCCACTATTACGCAAAGCGTTTCGGGCATTTAACTATATGGATAACTATACATAACTATACGGATAACATATCCGGATAACTCGGAACAGTTCTGAAGTGATATATTTACACTGAGGACCTGCTGCTGGAACATGTTAAATTAAAAGCCGTGACATACACATATGTTCTGATTTTCTACATATTTCCTTACCTATAAGACAAGACATCCATCAACAACCGCTGCTATTCAGTGCCATTAGTGGCACCCTACACTGGCTCCCCCCGCAGCGTGCCACGATCTTAAAAAACGCGAGACCTCGCTGTGTTCTCGAGGACATTGTTAATAACCGCCATTTTCTCTCCGTGGGGGGTAAGGCCTCAACCACCCATAATATCTCTACATCATCTCCTCGAGCGGCCTTGACGATAAAAATATAACCACCTAAATTTGCACGCAGCTGTCGATAGCCTGGAAATTGGTTGTGTGAGAAGACTGGTTAAGTTTTTCTCCTCTAAGAGTCGGTCGAAGCCTCGCCACCATCAACCTTGGCTGCCAGGCTTTGACTGGAGAAAAACTCATCCAGTCCTCAATCTCAATTTCAACGCTATTTAGCGTGTAAATTTGGGTGATGAGAGTGGACTTAAAACGACTTTATTTGAAACCAATCTCCAGTCCTCAATCTCAATTTCAACGCTATTTAGCGTGCGAATTTGGGTGATAAGAGTGGACTTGAAGCGACTTTGATTTGAAACCAATCTCCAGTCCTCAATCTCAATTTCAACGCTATTTAGCGTGCAGATTTGGGTGATAAGAGTGGACTTGAAACGACTTTGATTTGAAACCAATCTCCAATTAATGAACAGATTGGTTTCGATAAGGGAAAGGTGGGGTACGTTTTGCGGTTCGGTCGGTTTATAGTCAAGCAAAAACTACGTCAAATTAAGTGAACGGCTACGAATAACTTGTGGTAGTGAGTGATGTAGTCGTTACAGCGTTCGTGACGCAAGTTACTATTAGTGATTAGGCTGCACACGACGCGTACAGCGTTCGTGAGACTTCGTGACTGCATCCAGACTCACACGATTCCAGAGACGTGTTACTTGCGTGCTTATACGAGATATGAACAATGTTCGTGAGACAAACATGGCGTTCGTGAGATGTGCTCAATAACATGCAAAATAATTAAAAACAATAATTAAATACTTGTGTTAAGGAGGAAATGTAGATGTTTATGTCTCAGAATGTTTGGTAATATGTTTATTGTTTGTGATGTGTGTCTATGTATGTATTAACACGATGTACTGAACGGGGTGAGAATAGCTTGAGCTACCTCATCCCTCTGTGTGTATTTTACATCAATAAAGTTATTTCAATTTCAATTTCAATAATTAAAAGATTTAATCAAGCAACGCCTCCTTATAACTAGACAAGTTTCTTCGTTATATGTAACAAATAAATTTGAACAACAGCATACAAATATTACTACACAAAAATATGAAGATTTTGTTTTTGTATAATTTTTTATGGAAATAGTGAAACAGTACAGGAAATGCCATTTGAAATACATCATGGTAAACAATGGGGAACATTTACTACTGTCGCTGCTGTTAGGTTGGTAATACTGCGTAACTGTTAGGTTGGCAATACTGCGTAACTATGTTAGGTTGGCAAAACTGCGTAACTATGTTAGGTTGGCAAAACTGCGTAACTATGTTAGGTTGGCAAAACTGCGTAACTATGTTAGGTTGGCAATACTGCGTAACTATGTTAGGTTGGCAATACTGCGCAACTATGTTAGGTTGGCAATACTGCGTAACTATGTTAGGTTGGCAATACTGCGTAACTATGTTAGGTTGGCAATACTGCGTAACTATGTTAGGTTGGCAATACTGCGTAACTACGTTACGTTGGCAATACTGCGCAACTATGTTAGGTTGGCGAAACTGTGTTAGGTTGGCAATACTGCGTAACAATGTCAGGTTGGCAAAACTGCTCAACTATGTTAAATTAGATTAGATTAGAATTTTTATTCAGGTAAAGGTACAGACATTGAAGATAAGTTACAAAAATAATGTTGGAATTTAAAGATGAGTTAGTACATACAATACCTAAAGCCACTACTAGTACGCATAGCGTTTCGGGCAACAGCAGGGTTGGCAAAACTGCGTAACTACGTTAGGATGGCAAAACTGCGTAACTACGTTAGGTTGGCAAAACTGCGTAGCATTATAATACCAACGTTTTATATTATTAATTGTCATATCGTCAATGTAAATGAAAAATCAGTAGAGGTTTTGGTGATGAGATTAGGCTATCGTGACGGCGGAGGATGAGGACAAGACATTACCACCAAGGGGGCGCTTACCTCTACAAGCTGTCACCATACATCAAACTTCTATACAGACAATTTCCTGCAGAAGTAGGTTACACGACTATCATCATTCAATTAGTTGTTATCATCATTATCATCTCTCCTCCTGAGCACTCTCATCCCTGGCAATAGCCACTCCCATTTTGCACCTTAGTTGCCTCCATGTTTCAGTTTTCCCCCTTGTATTATTCAAGCCAATTTTAGTTACGTTATCTTTAAGTAAATAATTTCGTTATTCAGAAAGATAACATATTCATCCGAATCATTTCTAATGGAACTACTGCGATATATTTCAGTTAAACTTTTATGAGAGAAGAAATAAAGAGGCATTAGGCTAGTAGTGAAATTCTGCTCATTTTTTCTCACAGTTTAAGACACTTCAGTAACTTTATCCGAGTGTGTTGTACAAAGTTTACACTCTGCACACACCTCCTTTGAGCTACAAGTCCTCTTTTGGAACACAAATAGATCTGCCCTCTGTTGGAACACAAATGGATCTGCCCTCTGTTGGAACACAAATAGATCTGCCCTCTGTTGGAACACAAATAGATCTGCCCTCTGTTGGAACACAAATAGATCTGCCCTCTGTTGGAACACAAACAGATCTGCCCTCTGTTGGAACACAAACAGATCTGCCCTCTGTTGGAACACAAACAGATCTGCCCTCTGTTGGAACACAAACAGATCTGCCCTCTGTTGGAACACAAACAGATCTGCCCTCTGTTGGAACACAAACAGATCTGCCCTCTGTTGGAACACAAACAGATCTGCCCTCTGTTGGAACACAAACAGATCTGCCCTCTGTTGGAACACAAACAGATCTGCCCTCTGTTGGAACACAAACAGATCTGCCCTCTGTTGGAACACAAACAGATCTGCCCTCTGTTGGAACACAAACAGATCTGCCCTCTGTTGGAACACAAACAGATCTGCCCTCTGTTGGAACACAAACAGATCAGCCCTCTGTTGGAACACAACAATTTCAACGCTCATATCCCCCAAAATAAGGAAAAAAAAGCATTTTGGCAACAGCCTGGCGACAAAAACATGCTGTCACTTCAACATTACAAAAAAGCTCTCGCCTAAAAAGTGACTGCACTTTCATAACCCACAACGACACTTTTATGTATTTATGGCTTAATATAAAAGTCCTCAACTGTGGCTGCCATGACCTGAAGTGATGATAATAATAGGAGGTATTAGCTCTGATTCACTTGTCGAAGACCATCTTATTGACCACAACCTCTCCTGGACGACCATCTTATTGACCACAACCTCTCCTGGACGACCATCTTATTGACCACAACCTCTCCTAGACGACCATCGTATTGACCACAACCTCTCCTGGACGACCATCTTATTGACCACAACCTCTCCTAGACGACCATCTTATTGACCACAACCTCTCCTGGACGACCATCTTATTGACCACAACCTCTCCTGGACGACCATCTTATTGACCACAACCTCTCCTGGACGACCATCTTATTGACCACAACCTCTCCTGGACGACCATCTTATTGACCACAACCCATCTCCTGCCCACAACCTCTCCTGACGACCATCTTACAACCTCTGACCCACGTCCCGAACCTCTCCTGGACGACCATCTTCTAGCCCACAACCTCTGACCACAACCTCTCCTGAACGACCACCTTCCCGATCACAACCTCTCCTGAACGACCATCTTCTAGCCCACAACCTCTCCTGAACGACCATCGTCTAGCCCACAACCTCTCCTGAACGACCATCTTCCCGATCACAACCTCTCCTGAACGACCATCTTCTAGCCCACAACCTCTCCTGAACGACCACCTTCCCAGCCACAACCTCTCCTGAACGACCATCTTCTAGACCACAACCTCTCCTGGACGACCGTCTTATTGACCACAACCTCTCCTGAACGACCACCTTCCCAGCCACAACCTCTCCTGAGCGACCATCTTCTAGCCCACAACCTCTCCTGAACGACCATCATCTAGCCCACAACCTCTCCTGAACGACCATCTTCTAGCCCACAACCTATCCTGAACGACCGTCTTCTAGCCCACAA